AGTCCCGATATAATAATTAACATATGAAAATTTCCCCTTATATAGTCATATCACGTGATTAACAATGTATTCGGAAAATATATCGCGCGTTTTGTGCATAAAATGAATTTTCCTTTTAAGTTGATAATCACCACATGTTTCGAACTTTTTCTTTACAATTTTTATTTGAAAATGTTTTATTTTTCGATTTCAAACTTTTTTCATTACATAAATTCATCCTTTTACAAAAACTATCTTTTTCACTTTTTTTTATATCTAATATAATGCCACCTATACGTTTACAAAAAGCAAGGAGAATTCGTTCTGCCATTAGTAATGAAATAAAAAAAGAAATATGTGAATATATAATGGCAAATAGTAATGTGAAACAGGAAGAAGTTGCACTTTACTTTAATACAAAATATAATGAATTAAACATTGATAGATCAACTGTATCAAAAATATGGCAAAATCGTGAAAAGTGGATGGCAGTTCTTTCAACTTCACAGACTGCATGTACATTTCGTCATCGCTCAGTTCAGTATCCAGAACTTGATAAGGCCTTGCAAATTTGGACAGCACAAGCAGTGACCGCTGGACTTCCTTTAACTGATATGATTTTACAACAAAAAGGAATAGAACTTGCACAAATGTTAAATATTGGAGAAAATCAAATAAAATTTACTAATGGTTGGGTGTACAGATTCAAAAAACGGAATGGACTTCAAAGAGTTAAGTTTTCAGGTGAGGCTAATAGTGCCCCTATAGAAACTCTTCCAGAAGAACGTGTACGTCTTCGTGCACTTTTAGCTAAGTATGACAAGGAAGATATTTATAATGCAGATGAAACTGGGCTTTTTTTCCGAATGGAGCCAAACCAAACATTGAGTACTGGTGCAGTTGCGGGGCGTAAAATGGTAATTTTTATTGTAATAATTTTTCGTTAAAATAACTCTTTAAATGTTTTTTATTTTTCTGTAATCACTTTTTGACAAAATAATTATTTTCTGTAGGACAAAAGCCGAGTTTCTGTTTTATTTTGTGCTAATGCTACAGGATCTCATAAAATTCGTCCTTTGGTAATTGGAAAATCATTAAATCCCCGATGTTTTAAAAATCTCAACAAGTCAACTCTTCCAGTCATTTATCGAGCCAATTCAAAAGCATGGATGAGATCTGATATTTTCATTGAATGGCTTAAACACCTTGACTATTACTTTCGCACAATGGATAGAAGAGTTTTACTTCTTATTGATAATGCAGGATCCCACTTTAATCCAAAAAGATTTAAAAAAAATGATGATATGGATGATGAAGAAATTTCAGAATCTGATGACGAACAAGAATCTAAAAAACAAAAGAAAAAAGAAAAACCTGCTGTTGATCTTACTAATATTGAGCTTGTTTATCTTCCACCAAATACAACCGCTCATCTCCAACCTATGGATGCAGGTATTATCCATAGTTTTAAAGCTAAATATAAACAAGAATTTTGTAGACATTTAATTCGGCAGTTTGATTCTGGAGTTGATCATGTTAAGTAAGTTTAAAAAATTAACATTATTTTTCTATTAATGTTATTAATTTATTATTTTATTTAGAAATAAGTTAAACATTAAGGAGGCAATTGATTATATTGCTGAATCATGGAATAATGTCACTCCAACAACAATTCAAAATTGTTGGATCAAAACAGGTATACTTCCATCTTGTGATGATGATAATACGGATGAAGAAGATTTAGATGATGATGAACTTGAAAATCTTCTTATTAATTTGCCGGAAGAAACTGCTGATGTATTGGAATATTTTCAGTTGCTTGATCGTGAAATTCCAACTGAAGAGCACCTTACTGAAGAGCAAATTATTGATATGGTGCGAAATGAAGAAAATCAAGTAGAAGAAAGTGAAGATGATGACGAAAATGAAGAAATTCCTCTGATATCAGTGAAAAAAGCAATTAATGGGTTGGAAACTTTTGTTAATTATTTTGAACAACAAGAAGATTCCGAGTTTAATATTGGTGATTTGCGTATTTTTAGAAAATACTTACGAGTAATTAGAGTTAGAGAGATCAATGCAAAAAAGCAAAGTACACTTGATGGTTTTTTTGATAGGTAAATAACATTAATATAATTTTTAATAATTGCGAGATGTAATACTTTTATTAGTTATAATAGTTATAATAGTTATAATAGCGTAAAATAATAAAATCGGATTTGATATACATATTAGAAGGCAACGTGCTTTATTTTTATCATGTTATATAATTATATTTAATTTTAAAATAAAGATTATTATATAAAAATAACAAATAAAAAAAAAATTTATAGTCACGCTAATACAAAAATTTTATATATATGTGACTATATTGTAAAAGTCTCATATAAGCACACCTCTCTATAGTCACAGCATTGTGTGGTCCCAAGAGGTGTGACTATAGAGGGGGACGACTGTATATAAATTTTGTCATGAACAATGATAAATTGATGATTAGTAAAAAATTATTTATTTATTATTAATTTATTTAATATAATTAAAGTGAAAATTATTTTTACATTTTTATTAATCTTATTAAGTAAAATCATAATTTAAGACGCGATATTGTTTTTTAAGCCTGATTTTATCAAAATTTGAATAAAATTTGTAACTCAGGCCAAATTAATAGTGCCGGCCCGAATTACGATAAAATAAGCTAATTCAAATTCAATAATCAAATCGGAAAAAAGGCTACAAAAATTAAAAAAAACCTACCAAATTGTATTAATAAGTACCATTATCTCTAATATGGATCGTCATATGCAATCTAAAAAATTTTATATATGAAATCTGATCCGGATTCCGGATTTCACCCGGATTTCTGACCCGGATTTCAATCCGGATCAAACCGGATATAATCCAGATTTTTTTTTGTGTAATCCGGATGACGGATTTCATCCGGATCGAAGCACTAGTTGAATATATGGATAAATGCAATATATTAAATATAATTTATATAGTTTATATATTCCATATAGTTTATATATTTCATATAGTTTATATATTTTATATATTTTATATAGTACATAGTGTAAATTTTATTATAAATAGATAGTATTCGCAAGGTTTAATAAAGGCGCGCACTCATACCATGTATTAAGGGTCAAAAGTCCTAAAGTTTAATGATGATAATAAAGTCTATATTCTAAATATACACCTTGTCCTTGAATTATGTCTTATACACTTTATTTCTTATTTCTTATTGTTTATTTTTGAATGTTTGTAAATCCTTCATTTGCGTCTGATCGTATAGGCTAATTGGGAAGCTATACTTTATTCGCATCTGGTCGGATTTGTTAGAATTGATTGTTTTGTATAAGATTTATGTTAGTCATCTTAATTCCTGACCTCTCCGACCCTTCTGCTTAATATATTTTTAATTAAACTTACTGCTTAATATTTTTTAAGCAACTAAAGAACTGACGTTAACAGTATTCCTCTATGATTTCTATACACTTATAAATAAAATTGTACATATTCAATTATTCAATCCAACCTTTTCCCTTCAAATTTAAATGCATCTTTATTACTTTAAATTTCATTCTTTTTTCAGTTTGATACATCTAGCTCCGGAGTAATTATCCATATATGACGATTAAAAAATTAACTAGCATTATTCCTGGTCCGTGCTGCATAAAATTATGAATGATTTAATGATTCAACTTAATCGAGTCCAACTCTGTAAACAAGTATTTTTTCTTTTTTTTTGGTAAATATAGATCTAGACTCCCTGTATAATGCTTAAAACGACCTGCCACTGAATTTTATTAAATAAAATTTATACCTTTGATACAATAAATATAAATGAAAATTACAACAGTAAAGTTATTACTAAAGTTCACCACAATAAAAAAACACCCAAGAAAAACTAAGAATTAACCAAAGATCATCACCCAAATCAAAAATAAAGTTGCACCACCAAGTTTCGCCGCACTTATAATAGCCAAAATGCCGTATTGCATTACCGAAATGCTAAAATTAATTCATCAGTTCAAACTAGATCACTACTACAATCAAATGAACAAGAAAGTAACGTTAGAAACGTTCACAATTAAATATTAAGTATACACACACTCTCCCCATACTTATCTAAAATCTGGTTTCGCTGAAGTTCATTTATCACATATTACGCAAAACGCTACAGTTAATGCCATAATTCCAGAACTCCCCAGCGTAACAATCAAAAAGAAGCTCGGGTACATGAAATTCAGCCAATGATACTCAAGTCTTCCAATAAAATAGTAAAATCGGAAACCGAGGGGACATGGAAACGACTCGGTTCAGGGAACCGGAGTGGGTCGGAGTGGCCGAACCGATAGAACTGGTTTCAGTAACCGGTTTAAGTCGTTAATTCTGGCCTGCATCGCAATTTTGGCCTGAATTACCCGCTTGTATCACGTAACGTTACACAAACATTGTGACAAATATTTCTCTATAATCACGTGAGATTTTGATGATGCCGGAGAAGTGATAATTCCAGACAAAAGTCACGCGGTAGACTCCTAATACACGTGATAATAGATGGCATAAAATAATACCATATCGGCCTAGCCTAAACCTAGTATACGTGATAATATACATGGCAACATTATTTTAATATACGCGTAAAATAATACCCTAGCATACCCCAAATATTGTACTTTTCTAAACTTTCTTTACATGGCAACCCTAAATAATTAAATAAACCATTATTTTGGTAAACAAAAGTTTTAATATTTCGGTTTCTGGCGACTTGTATTATATATATAAACGAAATAATAAAAGTGCTCATTTATTGATTAGGCGCCAAGTATGATTCATGTCCTTACACGCATTAATTACCGTATTTTATTGTTAAATCATATACTTTTTAACCATATCTGATACATAAAAGCAAGAAAAGTATAGTATATACAATATATATAAAAAAATAATATAAATATACGAGCGAAAATCAGAAATTACAAAAAAAAAAAAAATAAAAATAAAAAAATATCATAAATATGGACAGATTCTTAAGTCTCATAGATTACAACAACATATTTACATTTCTTAATGTAAATGAACAAGCACAAAAGCTTGCAATTAAAGCAAGGGATGGAACAATTCCTAAAATATCGACCGGAAAAGAATTACTCAAGATTTGTTTAGATTTCAAGTTACGGTCAGATAATCAACGTCATATAATTGATATTGATTCGGTAACGGATGAAATTTGGAACTCACGTTTATCGGCTTCACAAAAATGGCAGTTTAAGAACCTTGCAGATAATGTAAATAAAGCTCGAAATGCTACTACTATCGAATTAATTGCTCGGATTAATACACCGCAAATTACAAAAACTCCTTTAGAAAATTCTATTTTAAACGGTACGAGTTTTCATGATGACAAAGGTTTTGAATTTTTGATTCACCCTTTTCAGTAAAATTTCAATTTTCCGTTACAGTATGTTTTAAACTCAATATTACCCTTAAGCTTCACGTTAGGAATTAAGCTTTTTTTTTTTTAAGATTTAAATTAAAATTTTTTTCATTCTTTTTATTATTATATATATGGATAAATTTACAAAATTCGACAATTTTTACAAATTTTTTATCATAAGATTTCTCTATCATAAATTAGTGCACAAAAAAAAATACAAACCAACTATGTAACCTTTTTTTAGTTGGGATAAACATATTGTAACTTACTTAAATGATTTTATTAATAAAAATACAGTATTAAAAATATTACAGCTTTTTTCACCCATAACTTGAAGTTTTTGTCTCGAAAACAATTATTTTTATATTCTTAATTATTTTACAAGTTATTCTAAAAATAATTACAGAAGATACAAGTTGCAGAATCGCTAAATTCTGTGACCTTTAAAATTCGATCATTTTGCTTGAAAGGGCAATCATTTCCATTTTGAGTTTTTCTTTCACATTACGGGTATCGCCGCGGTGCAATTTTTAAATAATTTAAATTTATGATATATATGATTTTTAATAAATAATGTTCATTTTACGCGATTGTACAAGCTAAAACGAAGATAAAATAAGCGGTCAAAGTTTTTGAAATTTACAATTGGATGAAATAAAAAAGATTAGAGTCAAATAATTCATTAAGTAGGTAAGTAGATCGATATTTTATCCTAATTATTTTTTTTAATAACAGTGGTAGATAAAAACTTTATGGGAGTTTATATAATTTTTTAAAAATCTATTTACTTTTTTAAAAAGCATATTAAACATATTATAATAACGCCCTTTACTATTTAATCTGTAACTATATAAAGTTACGTTACATCAATTAATAAATTTATACGACAAATGATTCTATCAGTTTTATTATTTGCATCATTTGCGCTTCGCTTATACTTATACCCGTTCGCCACTCGGCCGATAGAACTTCAGAACTTCAATGGTGAGCTTTGATTAACTAATTGAGATATATGATGAAAGTGAAGCTGAATCACTTTAATAGCCCCTTATTTAATTTATTAGGAAAACAAATTAAATGATCTACATTTTCTACAGTAATTTAAATAAAATTTCTTGTTGTATGACATATAATCACCGGAATACCGGAATTACATTTTTTTTATTCGTGTACAAACTCCGATATAACGATATGACAGGATTTATATGGAAATCTATGAAAAATATCAAAATTATACCGATATTCATATATGGTGAAAAAGTAAATGATTTATAGTTATATCGAGTTTTTATTATCGAGGTTAACAGTTTCAGAACACGAGCAGTATATAAATGATATAAATGGATAACAAGCCGGTATTATCTAAAAAAAGGAAGGATCTACACATTTTTTAAGGCCATTATAATGATCATAAAAAGATTATCAATTATCATCTACCTTGTATTCTAAATACAGTCAGATTGATTTTGGTCGTTATAATATTTTTATTATACCGATTTAATATGTTAAAAAAATATAAAAATTCAATATATCTAAAAATATATTACAAAGTCGTACTTTATCATTATCGTTTTAATATATATTTATAGTATCAATACAATTGAAATCCGAAATTGAATTATTGAAACTCATAAATGTCAGGTGATCTACTGCGATGACTGGTTTATAATTAAGCTTCATCATATGTAATAGGTATATTAATAGTGATAAAATTAATTATAGACGATTTGAGAAAAAGTTCGTTATGGACCAAAATCGGATCGTAATGAAGTTACTCAAGTACAAAATTTAATATTATCCAACTTGCGATCGCGCCAAGCTAAATGTAAATTTAAAATTTAATATTTAAAAATAAAATTATCATAACTATAAATAATTACTCACGATAAAGCTTTTAGAATCTTAAAGAATACATATATTTATTCTATGATCTATGTTTTAAACTATAGTATATGATAACTTTGGTAAATCTATTTCTATCTAAGCCGTATTTATGATTTTAGTGGAGATTGGAACAAGTGTATCGCCCATTCGGAAAACTGACCATGCGCTGGTTGGAAATGTTAATTTGGACTTAATTAATACAGAAAATTTATTTATTAATCAAGTATGACGACCATTGTATTTATACCGTAGCAATAACCTAAGTCGAAGAACTGCAAAATATTGGATATCAATCTCCGCCGATTTAGAAGTTTTTATTAGCGCCCATGCCTGTTCATCCAAAGTCCTGAAGTGTAAACAAAATAATGTAAATGAGATATAATTATACCAGATTATTTATTTCGAAATTTTTTTTAAAAAACAGAAAAAATTCTTTATTAAAAATAATTAAGAAAAAATTCAAATTCAAATCAACTTAATGAATTTGTCCAAAATTTTTTAATCTCGCACTACTGTAAAATTGCGTAAAGTTCAAAATTAAAACTTGTTAAAAAATAAATAATAATATAAAATACTTTATGAATGACTATTCATTAAGTCGCAGCAAAAAATATGTATAAAATATTTCGTACTATAATTGAATGATCGACGAACCTTTTTGAAAACGTTATTAATTATTACTATTGTCGTAATTTTATCTCCATTTTGGACTCGAGTGTTTACCAGGTAAACGAGTATGTATTAAAACGGTGTTTTGATCAGGTAATAAAGGTTCCACAAAATAGACTCAGACATGCTAACGTATGTACTGTATGCTGCATACACCTTTAAAATAAGCATTGGACAAATGATTACTTTATTAAAACTATTCGTGTTAGTCTTATGACAAAATAAAAATGGAAATTTCATACGTGAGAACATTTATTTTTTCTTAAAAATATAGTAATGTTACACCTTCATACGTAATTCTTAAATTATTGGTAATATAACCTGCTAAATTTTTAAAGAAATTCTTTTTACGTATAAAAGAATATTTTGTCAATTTGTGATACTTGTTCATAAGTTTACAGGTTTAAATAACTTTGTTTAAATATTTGTGAAACAGGGGATACGTTTGTATTATTGTGTGACAAATGCAGAAAATTTACCAAAAAAAATTGTTACCTGGGTACTCATCATTGCTAAATTTATAATTTCATTTTAGTTTTTACGTTACACAATAAGAAATATTTATTGATGACGATTGCTCCAAAATCTTATCGTAACGTATAATTACGATAAAATATTTTCTCTCATTTTGCTAACGTAAATAAATAAAATAAGAAATTTTTTAATCAGTATTATTAAAATATATATTCAAAAGTATTTAATCACATGGATGTTGATAATATACTTTCGTAAAGAATGAAGTTCATAGGTTGCAATTTAATAATGATATAATTGATCCAGCAACGAATGAAATTTGGAATTTACGTTTGACAACCTCACAATAAGATCAAAATTTTATATTTTTTTTGAAATTTTTTTTTTAAAAAAAAGAATTTGCGAGAAATTTTTAATAATTAATCCATTAAATAACCATCTATTTTAACAAACTGAAATGATTGTTCGCAAGATAAAGAACTCAAGTTAATTATCTCGATTAATTAATTCATTTGAATACTTCTTTTTTTCTGAAGCTCGCCTCTAATTTTGCGCACACATTTCCTACCAGTCTCAAAAAAAAAAATAAATGTATCATACATAAGTCGCTAATAAACAATTTGCTATATCTAAAATCACTTTTTTACATCATAAGATTTTAGGTATTTACAATATGATAATTATGATATGTAAACTTCTGATAAAAATGTGATTCGTCTATTTACTGAATATCAGTAAAGAGATTCAATAACTTAATAAAATAGACCATTAGACTTTTTATTTATGACATTTGTAATAATTTGTCACATGATTTTAGAAAAAGTGAACACAGTAACTGTTTCTAGAAATTCACTGTACACAAACTACACAATCGACATAAAATTAATTGTGGCTTTTAAACTTTAAATTTATTTATTTTTTTTTTCTTTTACATTAAAAAAAATAATGTCTTCAAAATTTTTAGCAGAATTATCTAGCGACTATGAAAAACTTTTTGAAACAGAAATTGGATATGATGTTATTATTTATGCTGGAGAAGGCCAAAATATGAAGGAAATTCATGCACATTCAAATATTTTATGTATTAGGTCTCAATATTTCCGTTCTGCATTTTCTAATGAATGGTATGAGAAAAGAGATGGAAAATTTATTTTCAAAAAACCAAATATTTCACCTCAATTATTTAATATTATTCTTAGGTAATAATCTAATAATTTATATAATTTATGATAAATTTTTTTGTTCACATAATTTAAATTTTTCTAACTATTAAATATATTAGGTTCATTTATTGTGGAAATATTGAATTAAAGAATTTACAAGGTCCTGATGTATTGGATTTATTGATAGCTGTGGATGAACTAAATATCAATTCATTAGTTTCCCACATTCAAGAATTTTTAATTGAATATAAAACTGAATTTTTGCAAAAAAATCCAACTGGAATTCTTGAAACCGTTTATCAACATGAAGCATTTACGGATTTATGGAATTTTTTTCTTGAAAAAATTTGTGAAGAACCTAAAATTTTATTTAGCTCTGATAATTTCATTAATTTAAAAGCTCCTTTAGTAGAATTATTATTAAAAAGGGATGACTTATATATGGATGAAATTGAAGTTTGGGAGAATTTATTAAAATGGTGTTTTGCTCAACAAAATATAAAGAATGATTCAACAAAATGGAGTAAAGAAGATATTATAAGAGTCGAAAGAGAATTATATAGATTTATTCCTTTAATTCGATTTTATGATATTGAACCTACAGATTTCTTTTACAAAGTTTATTGTTACAAAGACGTTTTACCACAAGATTTAATTCATAATCTTTTAGAATTTCACATAGTTCCTAATATAAAAACTAAAACTAATTTACCACCTTCAAGAAAACCAAATTTAAAGTATCATCTCGATTCAACCTTGATTGAATCAAAACATATTCATCTTTTTGCTTCATGGATTGATAGAAAAGATTCTTCACATTATAATATGAAAAATATTCCATATGATTTTAAATTATTATATCGTTCAAGTCGTGATGGAATTGACACTAATACTTTTCATAAAAATTGTGACAATAAAGGAGCTACTATTTGGGTAGCAAAAATTAAAAATTCTACACAAATAATTGGAGGGTATAATCCACTTGATTGGAATGGTAATTGCGTTTGGAAAACTACAGAAGATAGCTTTATTTTTAATTTTACAAATAGAAAAAATATTTCTACTTCAAAAGTAAGTTATGTTAATAATAAGAAGTATGCTGTTTATTGTTATGATACTAATGGACCAACTATGGGTAATTTATACTGCTTTAAGAATAATTGGTCTAATAAACAGCGTCATTTTGGGATTTCTTATTATGACACAGGAATTCCAGAAGACTTTATAGTAGAAGATTATGAAGTATTTCAAATAATTAAAAAATAAATTTTGTGTATAAATTATTTTAAGAAAGAGCATCTCGTGGGTAATATAAATAACACTCGTGACTCTGATACCATTAATCAAATCTCTCGAATTTATACAATTAATACATCACAAATTACAAACAGTTCTTTCGAAGATAATTTTTTTAATGGACCAAACTTCTATGAAAACGAAAGTTTCCAATCTTTAATATTACCTAATGGGTTGTTCAGGGTCTCTTTATTTTTCCTTAAATTTCACATCCTCTACGTGCTCCAATTTGATTATTTTATATTACTCACGGCATTTAATTAGAATATAATTCATGTGAGATTAAATTCTTTTATTTCTGTTTAATAAATTATTTTATTTTTTTAATTTTCATCTGCAATCTATAAAATTTACATAAACTTAAATTAATATAGTTTAGAATTCTGATATAAAATACAACTCCAAACTTTGCTTTTCTTATTATTTATATAAAGTAAATAATGATTTCGAAATTTTGGGCAGAGTTACTATCTAGCGACTATGAAACTTATTTAAACAGAAATTGGATATGACGTTATTATTTATGCTGGAGAAGAACAAAGTATTAAAGAAAATTCATGTTTCATTAAAATATTTTGTGTGCTGTCCCAATATTTTCGTACTGCATCTTCTAGAGAAAAGAGATGGAAAATTTATTTTTAGAAAAATCAAATATTTCACCATAATTATTTAATATCATTTTGAAATGTCAAATTTATTGTGTAAATTATACTAGGTTTATATACTGTGAAAATATGAAAATATTGAATTGAATATTTTACAAGGTCCTGACTTATTAGCGATAGTATGCTTTTGGATGATAAATTTCTGACGATCATCTTCCAAATTTATTCACTTTTTCGCTTAATTTGTAGTTTGTCATACGATCTACATGCATTTTTTCATAATTTCGGAAATGCTCAATGTGAACTTTTTTGATTCAATTTTATATAGCTATATATATTGCTAATTGCAATAGCTATATAGCTATAGACGTTGTTATTGCAATATTGCTTCTTTGATATCATTAGAATAAAATTACAAAATATTAATTTTTGTGCCACTTTCGCTACATATTAACTTGAGGCATCAAACAATAAGTTTTATATTTGTATTTGATTTTGTTGATCTTTATTGATTTTCAATAAAAATAGATTCAAATATATTTCTTTTTCGTTAAAAAAATTGAAACGTGTAGATGATCATGTAGATCTTGTGATAATCAAAATAAAAAAGTGTTATACGAAAATTTTTTTCAAAAATTTTTCTTTTTTTATAAATTTTTTTACATTTTTTTCTATTTGTAAGATTAAATATTTGGATATTACATAATCACAAATTAAATTTATAAGTGTATTTAAGTATATTTTTTTTAGAAAATAATGTGATATTTCATAAAAAATATTTTTTCTTACTATTTTTATTTTTAAACTACTTGAATTTATAATTAATGAAAAAATTAATTAAAAATTTATGTCAGGTCATTTTCAAATTTTTATCATCTCAGTTCTTAATTTTTATATTACATTTATTTTTTATATAAAATTTTTTTAAATTAAACTTCTTTTTCCAAATATACTATAATCTCCAC